ACACCAGGAGTGAGTCTGTGCACACCCACCAGGAGCGAGCCCTGCATATGTGTGTGTGTGCACACTGCATTTAGGGTGTGCTTATGCTGTGTGAGAGTGCATACATTGCACGGAGCTGTTTGCACACACGTGCAGTCCTGTGCATTGTCAGAGGGGCTGAGTGTGCACAGCGTGTGTGCATGCATATGTGGTTTTGTTGGTTTTACACACCCCAAGCCAGGCTTGAGACCTGTCCAGAGGCTGGAGCCACCAAGGGGTCCCCCTGAGGGGTGCTGTGTGTGTCCAGACCCTGGTTGATGAGGTCAGACTGCAATGCAGCCTGGACCACAAAAACAGGCTCCCAGAGCTCCAACATGGGCAGGATGAGGCCACACATCTTCTCTGTCATTGAGGGGACTCAGTGCTGCTGGTTTGCCCTGTGTCTTTGCTTGCAGCAAGGTAAACTGAGGCACCAGAGTACCATCAAGAAGAAGTCCTGACCTGCTGCTGCACCCACAGCACCTTGCTGCCATGGGTGGCAAAGCCCAGAGCTTGCCCTGCCAAATACCCCCATATGTCCCTGCACTCCCACTCCGTCTGCCTGCCTGCTGATTTTTTCCTGACTCCTCTTTTCCATGGAGGCAGTTTTGGCAGTAGAAAAAGGAGGTGCCTGCTCTACTGTGAGCATTTTTGGTCAGATCAAGAAGCAGCAGCAGCAGCAGCCTGCAACACCAGCACACAAGTGACAGCGGCTTTGGCACCATCCCACGGCAAGGGCAGCTTATCCCTCAGACCTCATGCTGCTGCCCTTGGTGGTGATAGCATGAGGTGACAGGAGCTCGAAGTACCCAGAACTGATGGCCCTCTCCCCTCCAGAGCCACCTGTATGGCACAGGAACTAGGGACAGCCCAGTGGCACTCCGCATTGCGCAGCATCCTCACCAGAGAGGCTTTTCTGGAAAAATGAGCCCCTTCCCCGGGAGAGCAGGCCAGCTCCTGACCCTGCAGGGCCCCCGGGCGCTGTTTATCTTTGCGCAGGAGATAAAGCAGCTGTTGGCCATCCCATTTCAGGGCTGGACAGCTGTAGCTCGCCCTGGCCCATCCCATCCAACTGCGGCAGGGATAGGGACCTCCCAGTGCTTGCCAGCTCCATCACGCATCAGTTTGTCCACAACTATCCAACGATCCTTCTGAGTTGCCCCTGATAGGAAATGATCTGGTCCCATTTCAGGGGAACCCACAGGGGCAGCTACCCCAAGGACTTGTTCCACCGGTCTCCATCACATAGGGCTTCAGCCTTCCCCTGGGTGCTGCAATGCACCCAAAGGTGCTGGCACCCTCTGCGCTGGGCTGTGCCCCATCTCCTGCACACTGAGGTGGGGAGAGAGCCTGGGGCTCAACACTGGGGTGGGTGGGATGAGTCATACGTGGTGATGGTAATGGGACTTCTCCATGGCCCAGGAGGAACCAAGGCATTTGGAGAAGCTCCCCTCCTCCAAAGCAGAGGAATCGGGGTGTTCAGGTCAATTGTGACACCCAGGGGTGGAGTGTGTGGCCAGGCTGGCTAGTGACCGCATCAAGGTCTGCATGGAGTGCAGTGTGTTCCATCACCCTGGGCATGGTCACCAAAGGACCTGGTGCAGCTGCGCCAGCTGGCTCAGTTACACCGTAGAGCCACCACAGTGACAACAGCAGCTCTGGGGCTCTGCACATGTGTCACAAATTGTGTCTGTGCTCAAGCTCACTCTGGGGAAGCGAGCAGCACCATGACCCCCTCCACCCTGCTCAGCATCTTTGCACTGCTGGGGTCTGCTGATGCTCCTGGCTGGAAAGAAAGAGAAATCCTCCAGACAAACGGCTATCGACGGCTGCGGTGGAGGCGGCACAGATAGATACGAGAGGTATAGACGGGCACGGCAGACAGCGGAGCAGATTGAGAGATACTCGGAGCAGAGAGATACCGCAGGAGGAATCAGGAGATAGATCCTATGGGCTGATCAATAACCACTGCATGCGGAGGGACAGCAAGATAGAACGAGCTGCAGGGAGAAGATGTTTGGTGGGCAGCAATGTGCATTTGTCCTGGAGATAGCTCTGGGGAGATGCTGCTTGCAGTCACTTCAGCTGGGGCTGGGACAGAGCTAGACCCACAGTGCGGGTGCCTGTGGCTGTGTCGCCTTGCCCATCTATGGCCACCCCACAGGGGTTTGGTATCCTTTAAGGTGCCCTGGGGTCCCACCTGGCCTCTGTGTAGCAAAAGGTATGTATCTTCCATGTGTCCTAGCCGCATCTTCCAGCTCTGCAGTCACGTCCCTGCCACCTGTGGGCATCTTAAGACAATGCTGAGGGCCTGCATGTGGGCAGCCAACAGGGAGCAGGGCAGCTTCAGTGCAAGCCCTGGCCCTGGCAGAGGGGCTGTGCTGGAGCTGGGTGACTGTGGATGAGTTCCCATCCCGTGCCTCAGTTTCCCCATGTGAACCAAATGATGGCAAGCCACAGGGAGCCGGGTCAGTCCAGCACAGACTCTGGCATGGATAAGGAGGAGTGGGGAGGAAGGGGCAGAGACAGCAAAAGCCTGCAGGACACACCACGTCCAGGACCCACCTCCCATCTACTGGGCAATGGGAACACCTACGTGCCCCCTAACAGGCTGCAAATGTCTGCCCTGAAAAGAAGGGCTGCTATTTGGGACCCTGGAGCTCCTGACACTGTTCCTGCTCAGTACTGGGATGGAGACAACTGCTTCTGCTGCAGCAAAGCAGCCAGGGCTCCTGGGTCCCAGCGCAGCTCCATCCCAGTGGCCCTTGCCCGAACCACCCCATGCTGCCTGGTTTCTCTGCTGGGCACATCCTAGCTTAGTGGGGGACAATGAGGAAGGTACCCCCAGAGCATCCCTTCTCCTGAACAGGACTGCGGCCCTGTGGCCAGGCTGGGGGGCATCCCCCACCCGTGATGGAGTTATTGACACGGGTGCTACAGAAAACACTGCTGAGATTGTTCACACTAATGTTATTTAGCAGCAATATTTCCGTAATAAAAGAAATCAATGGGCAAGAGAAAAGACCTGTCCAGCGCTTTGATTTTCTCATTTTAATGGCATACTTATTTACTCCCACCAGCGTGCCCATCGGATTTTCATTACGCGGCCTTCGCTGTAAGTGGAGCGGTATTGATACGAGTTGCTGAGTTAGCGCCTTCCTGTGCGGGATCGCTCGTGTTTCTCGACAGGGCCCTGCGAAAACCCCAGGGAATGGGCACGGCGCGGGGCCAGGGCGGCCTCACAGCCCGCAAGACCACACAGCTCGGACACACGCACGCACACACACACACACCCCCCACTACCCTGCTTGCACCTATACTCACACGTGCACCCAACAGGTCTACCAGCATGTGTGTACACACACACACCCTCTACATACCCCGTGATTCCCTCCTGTGCCCTTCTCACAGCAGTGAATGCATGTGTGTTTCTGTGTGAACATCTCAAGACCACCAACTTGCTGCACCTGGGTCTGTCCATCCCTAGAGCCGCATGATTGGCATCAGCTCTGTCCCCCAAAATGATAGTCCCCACAGACTCTGGGGTCCCCTGCAGAAGCAGGGCCCTGGCGCCAGTCCAGGCTTTTGGTTGCCAGTGATGGCAGCGCAGAGAGGAGTAACAGCACCATCTCCTGCCAGTCCCCAGGAGCTGAGACGTGCCTGATCCTGCCCAGCATTGCACCCCGCAGCTCCCAGAACCTCAGGTGGGATGATGCTGGCAACCCAGGGACACCCAGCTGTTCCCAGCACCCACGCTGAGCCCAGAGCCAGATGGATCCAGCACCATTCCCTATGGCAGGAGCTCAGCACGCTTCAGAGACTCTCCCTGCAACCTGAGCGGGTGGGATGAACAAATTTATTGATTGATATCTCCTTTCAGGTGGCAAGTAAAGTAGCCCGTGTGCAGGGCTGCCAGTCAGCAGGATGGGGACAGTCCAGGGAGCAGGAGGAGCAACATGCTACAGGCCTGGTGGCCAGGGACACACAGACATAAGTTTGGCAGCAGTGCAGAGGTGAGAGTCCTCTACCAAGCAGCGAGCCTGCGCAGGTCTGGCTGCAGGGCTGCAAGCAGGGTCTGCAGCCAGGCTCCGTCATGGGACCGCAGCACTCCCTAGGTGGCCAGGACCCTGCGCCGGGAGCCGAGTGGGGTGGCTGTCCCCAGAGGGGTCTCACAGCCAGGGGAAGCATTTTGAGGAATGAGATCCCATCCTGAGCTAGTAGAGAGGTTCAGGCACCCGCAGACACTAGGTACGTGCATAGCCCAGAGGCCACACAGAACTGGCTCTCGGTTAAGGCGACAGATGGTGGCTCTCCCCTTTGGGGGGGGACTTGCAGGGAGGGGACTATGGGAATAGGGACTGACTTCCAGTCCTGGCCATTCCCTGGGGCAGGTGACACGAAGGACCAAGGGGGACCTCCAGCACAAAGGCTGGGCATCCCCTCACTGCCAGGTGGTCCCAGGACAGATCCTGCCCTGTGTCAGGGGGACACTGTGTGCTGCCAACCCAGGAACAGAGCCACGGGAGATGCTGCCAGCTGGACACAGCACCCTGTGCTGCCCGCAGCCCCGGCAGCCTGCCAGGGAGACAGAGAACCTCTCAACTGACCTTTACAGCCAGTGCTCTGGCCCCAGCTCACCCCCTGCACTCTGCCCCCAAGGGCTGCATCCTCCCAACGTCTCAGGAGCTGCAGAAATTTTGTGGAGCCTGGGGACAGACAGCTCCAGCCCCCCGACGAGGGCACACAGGGGTGTTCATACCCTGCAAGGCAACTCCAGCCCTGAGGGATGGAAAAGCAGGACATGGCTCTGATTGAAACAGGGGAGAGGCAGGTAGTAAAGAGAACTGGTGGTCTGTACTGCCATGACCACCACGGTCCCTCCGTCCTGGCACCCAGCTGGCCGATAGGGAAGGACAGAACGATTTGGGGGAGGCACAAGGCGTCTCCTGTGGCCTCCACTAGAGCCTGGGCTCGGGGAGGTGGAGAAGGAGGGGGTGGAGGAAGCCTGGGAGAAGGGGGGCCAGCTGTGCCTGGCAGGGCATGTGGGTGAGCCAGGCTCAGCAGCCCCAGGTGCTGAAGAAGGCATTGGCTTCCAGGAGCAGGCCCTTGGCGTAGACGCGCAGGGTGTAGAAGAGGGTGACGAAGTCCTGAGTGCTGAAGAGGGTGTCAGCCAGGGCGAAGGCGAGCGTTGAGGGGACGAAGCCTCGGCCATACTCCACCATCCAGGTGCCTGCACTCCACTGAACCGACGTGGCCTCTCCTGCCAGGTGCACGATGGTATCCCCTGCCAACACATACAACCAGCACAGCTCCTGGTGGCTGCCCCACATCATCCCCATGGAGAAGGCACATGGGAGCGGGATCTGGAGGACTGAACACCCCAATCCCTCTCCAGCCTTGCTCACTTGTCTCTTACTGGCACCAACTGAGATGCTGGGATGTGCTCCTGGGGCACACAAACTGCCCCATCGTGAGCTCCTGGCTTCTGCCAACTGGAAGAGGCTTTGTGACAGCGGAGAACTCAATAACAGAGTGGATCCACAGGAGGGCACCATGGCTGCTGTGCTTACCTGGATAGTAGATCTCACTTCTGGTGGTCCCCTCTTTCCACTGCCGGAAGGTCCCCGAGATGAGTGTGTCAGAGATATCTGCCCAGTACCGACCTGCAAGAGGACAGACAGCACTGGCTCAGTGTGTCCCTGCTGGGGACAGCTCAGGAGCCCAGGTCTGAGCCAGGGAGCAGCCCTCTGGGAGTCTGGTACACATACCACCAGCCCGGTATTCTTGGTGTCCTTAAGCTACATCATTTCCAGCATGTTTGGCAGTCACTCCCTGTTGAAGCACTGGGAGACGTGATGCCCGCCATCGCCTGCCAGCTGGATGCAGAGAGTCCTGGCCACACGGCATGGCACGCACAGGGACCTGCAGGCACTGCAGGACACCACAGGGGCTGGTCCCCATGCAAACAGTGCTTGCCAGCATTGTGCATCCCTTAAAAGAAGCGGAGCAGTGAGCTCCCTGCTCTGGGTACACTATGGCTGGGGCAGTCAGACCCGAATAAATGGAGCGGAAAGAGCTCAAAGAAACTCCCTGCCTGCCAGCCCTGTCTCTGCGCTTACCTGAGTGGCCTCCAGTGTCGACAGCTGTCCCGAAGAGCAGCACATACTCGGTGAGCGAGGCATGCAAGAGGCACATGGAACCCATCCACCCGCCCGCGTTCACGAACACCCACTGCAGGTCCTCATCCGGCAGGATATGGCCCGGGTGCTTCTTCCGTAGCTCCAC